AGTGGTACTATGAACAGAGTACTGGATTTAGCCCAGTGCTTAAGCACATAGCACCTTCATTCAGAATTAGCATCCTAAGAGAAATGGTAGGGTCTGCCATGAATTCTGTTTCTGATCAGAGCAATAAACAGCAGCAAGCAAGATAACATTTTGGGGAATATTCCAAGACTCTCAAAGCCTGCATTTTACACCAAGAATGTTTGTTCTAAGTTAACACTCTTACATTGCATGCATGAACATGTTTGAGAATGTTTTCTCAGAATTGATTTATAGCAATGTACATTATTACCACCCCTCTCGCCATTTCCCTGATAAAAAATAGGGGTAATTTCTATGCTTGCACCATTCCCAACACCAAGGATCATTAGCTGCCATGTGCCACCATATGTTGCTGATGGCTTTCCTACATGGTTCCATCTGCTGTATGCTTTTATTCTCTTACTTGGCAGGAGCTGATGCATTAGCAACCTGACCACAACGGGTTCTCCCTACGAACACAACAAAGCTTAAAGTTTAGTCCACTGTGACTCCAATAGAACTTATAAATGATCTGCAATCCAGCAACATTTTCTAGTTCAGCAGGCAGTCTAGCACAGAAACAGAAGTGTAGAAATTAGAAATGTTATTTTGTGAATGCTGCTTCCTCAGTACTGTGGCCAAACTAGGTATTATTCAAGCTCTACCAAAAAAAAAACAACCCTAAGCATTTCCTAAATAAAGAGTTGGTGGAATTTTTTTTTTGCCCCATTGCACATGTAAGCCATGAATATAGAGCATCTTTATACCACATCAGAGTAGTTCTACTTCTGTCTCGTTGTCTATGGCTCACCAGTAACTCAGGTTTCAGCCACCTACCCCTTTTTATTGAAGATACCAGGAAGTGAACTAGGGACCTTGTACATGAAAAGCATATGCTCTACCACTGAGCTGCAATCCAACTCATACCTTCCCAGAAAGTCAGGGGGAATCAAGACAGTGATTTAAAAGGGCAGGTACCGGAAAATAAGAACTATCTCTAATAATAAAGGAAAATGAAAATGCATTTTCATTTCCTACTTTAATCATTTTAAGTCTTAGAAGATTGAGCCATCTAGGAATATAGAACTTGGGCTCAGTTTTGGTCTGGAGAAGAAGAAGAAGAAGAAGAAGAAGAAGAAGAAGAAGAAGAAGAAGAAGAAGAAGAAGAAGAAGAAGAAGAAGAAGAAGAAGAAAAGCTTTGCCAAGCAACTTGAGTACATTTGCAGGTCTATGATTTTGCAGATTTAAAAAATGGGTGCTATTAATCTACAAGCCAAAAGGAGTGTGAAAGAGCATGCTTAATCTTTTCTTCCCAAAATATTTATGCAAGTAATTGAAAGGACCTGAGAATTAAGAATTAAAATCATAATTATAATTCCCCACCCCATTCTTTCTAAATTGGTCCCACAATCAAAGTGTGGAGATTCCTTAGCAAGAACTGGATGGAAAGTTTCTAAGCACAAAGGAATGTGTTTATTGAACTCAATACATTTCAAATATCTTGTTTATATATTGTCTTAAGAAACCCATGTGTGGCTAGTTCATGAAGTAAAGATTCCTGAAATTTGTTATAGATATCCCTAAAGATAGTTTTCATAGGTCCAAAACACACTGCAGAAATAATCCAATATGAGACCTCTTTAACTGCCCTGGCTAAATGTTACAGAATTCTGGGAACTGTAGTTTTGGGAGACATTTAGCCTTCCTGTCAGAGAGCTCTGGTGTCACAATAAATTACAATTCCCAGGATTCCCTATCACTGAGCCAGAGCAGTTAAAATGGTCTCAAACTGGATTATTTCTGCAGTGTGTTTTGGACCATAGTCCCTGTTTTTTTTTTAATTTATTTTATTTGTCCAACTCAAGTAGCAAAGAAGAACCAGTAAGTGACCTCAGAGAAAGGAAAAAGGAAGCCTAAGAGTAGCAAATTGCAAATAAATGCATGGGATGTCTGTCCTGCTATTGTCCCCATCCCAATGGGTTGAGATCTCTGGCCACCTAAATCGGTATCCTATTCCAGCATGAACTATCATGTAGACTGTAGCTAAGCAAAGAGGGAGCAGTGAAGACTGAGAGGGTGGCAGATCAGATCCCTATTCATGCTACTCAAATGACCTGACCCTTGTACCCTACAAACTGTAGCTCCACTGACAAAGGAAGCGTTTAACTCCTTTTCTCCCTGACATGTTAAAGGGTGGGAAATAAATGTGTTAAATTAGAGATGAAAATGTGGTGCAGTGGTGCAAACTAGCTCCTCATTACCATATGTGACCCCAAGGTTTTTTTGTACCCCTGCCTCACCAATGCTCCCTGAAGACAATAAAATAGGATGTAGACTACTCATCCTCTCCAAATTTTAAAATCTTAAAAAAAAAACAGGAAGGGCATTTTGGGCTACCTCCAATTTTGATTTTCATTATTTCTGCACGTTTGGGGGCTGGTATAGCTCATTGTGGATCCTGGAGATGGAAAATGGCCTTGCACTATCTAAATAGGTAAATTTGTGAGCCTGTGGAGATACACTTTGACTCTCCATGTTTCAAAATATAAGCTGTTATCAAGGAGACGGTGCTGTTGTGTCCCATATTAAGAACATCAATGAAATTACCACTGTATTGAAGACAGCTAGCAGAAACCACTGTGTGAGACAGTGTACCAGACCTACAGGCAGCCATAGAAAATTTCTAAGAGGTTTTTCTTTCTTCATTCTGAATTATTCAGACTTAATTGGCAATTCTGATGCTTTTCTTTAGGTTTTGTGTTTGTTGTTTTTGTCAGCCTCTAAACCTGTGCTCAAGCTGAGCATCCAGATTTAAATGTCACAGAGAAGAGGAAATAATGTGAAGTGGGGGGTGGTGGTTTCCCTCTCTATTAATTTAGGTGATACTTTTCCATACTGAATACTTTATAACCAAATCTCAATTACCTAAGCCCTGCTATGAGATCCCCCACCTTCTAATGAATGGGCACTATAACTATTTCTTCTATCGATTCTTGATTCTTTAGATTCCCAATTATGCAAGCATAATTGGTGGCACACAAACAGAGAAGATAATCGGATTCTGTATGCTGTATTAAGAGTAATCCTTTATCACTTCTAGCTGTGAATCTTAACCATCTAACATCCACAGGACACACCACAAATATCCTTTCCCCATTCCCATTTGTGATTCCTTGTGGTCACAACCACACCAACACTCGGCCCTGCAAAACTGTGACAATGACAGAAAAAAAAATGTTTTTAAAAGGCTTCCTTTCTCTTCCTTTCCCTTTCTGATACTCTAATGTTTTCTGGAAGGTTCTACCATTCTGTAGCTTGGAACCAGTTGCTTCTTGACCTAAAAATTAAAGTCCATACTGGCTGGTGAGAATCTGGGAGTTCTAGTACAAAAAGGTAAGTGTTCTGCCATCTGATATGCATTCTGCTCTCTGAGACCTGCCACAGTTACCAGCAGATTTTAGTGTTAAGTGTGGTAAATTGAAAACCTCAGCCGATACAGACTCTGTGTGTGTGTGTGTGTGTGTGTGTGTGTGTGTGTGTGTGTGTGTGTGTGTTAGTTACGATGGTGGTGGTGGTGCAGCCCCCAGTGGGTAATGGAAGATACACATTGTGGTTGATACAGATACCACAGCTTTCTCATAGGTTTATCATACTGGGATAAATGACATGATCCATCTTGAAGAAGAACTTAAGACCCCCTCAGAAGATAGCAGATTCTTCCTAGCCCAGGATTTTTAAACAGAGGTTAGATGTCACCTCTTGATGGGTACCTTAACAATAGATTCTTACACTGGCAGGGGTTAAAGCAGATCACCCTTGAGATCCCTTCCAACTCTATGATTCTATAAAAACACTAAGTAGAAGTACATAATGTATTATTTACTGTAATAAAAGTGAGATTGTTGTTCCTTACTATGCAGCTTTAGACATTTCTTTTCCTTTGGCAGAGTGCATACAATCTGTGGGGGACAAACTGAAGTCATCTAAAGAATACTACAATGTTGATCTAGTCATTTTATTTGGTGCTTAATCAATACATATTCCAGCCTCTGTAAATATACATAAAATACAATTTATTCTTTTGGCAATTCCCCCTACCCAACCTGCAATGATTGCATTCCAAAAAGTGCTACTCCATATAGAAATAATTATAACCATGGCCAGACAAAAAGACACAACTTCCAGACATTTGTTTTGCTTTGTCTTGTCTTTTCACTTATTTTGCACTCCCACCGGTGGCTGGGATGTGTCAACCAGGTGCATGAGTGTGGAAAGTAAAGATGCCACAAACCTGAAAGAAAAAGGTCTAAGGGAATTCACTTCAACAGCATCCTCTTCCTCCAGTTAATAAAATTCCTCCCCTGCCAACTAAAAGCTCACAGCAAGATTATGAATTTGGGGAACATTGAAAGCTTGCTGCAAATCACAGCATTTGGGAATTTGCATGCCACTGCATGGCACTCAACACAAGCTAATATGCCTGAAGTTGACAGTCATGTAAACATTCTCTCAGATTATGCAAAATGCCTCTTTCCTTCAGTCTTGGTATATAGCCTGGTTTGGGATAAACCATCAAGGTCTTTAAAAAAAAAAAAAAAGGCAAGACAGGAAAGCCACATAACTACCTAGATAGGATCTAGATATTGGTGGGGTATCCAGGGAGAAGAAAGAGGCAGTATAGATTTGGTTGGGTGAATAATATAAGAGTAGGTTTGAAATTGGGTGGGGGGAAAACCATCTTTGGGAAATGTGGCATAAAAATAGATATCTGGCAATTACTTTTGATGACTGAAAGCAATTAATCTTCTTTTGAACCCAATTTCCCTGGGTTCAAAACTCTCTAAGAAGATCCTTTTTTATATATGTGCAGTAGCAAGGACTCTTGTATTAATGCATGTAGTGTGTCATGAAGCCATTGTCTTTGATCATACCTCTGCTAATGAATTATGATTTGTGCATATAATTCAATTGAGTTTCCTTTTTCTAGTCTTCCTTTGTAAATTTCTTGTCCAAGGAGTTGTGTCTTGTGTGTATGTGTGTGTTCCTTCAATTTGCCTGTCAACCTATGGTGATCCCATGGATTTCATAGGGTTTTCTTAAGCAAAGAATACTCAGGGGTGTTTTTGCCAGTTTCTTCCTCTGAAATATAGCCTACAGTGCCTGTTATTCATTTGCAGTCTCCCATCCAAGTACCAATCAGGGCTGACCAAGATCAGATGGGATCCAGAGTTTTTGGGGTCTTACTGATCTGTAAAGCAAACAGAGAGCAAGCCAAAATAAACATCTGGAACTGTGACATGGATCAGATAAGTCAAGAAAGTCCAGTAACAGGCAGGAGGAATATAAAGAGAGTACATTGCAGCCAAATAAAGACACTGAATCACCAATCTGGCATCTCAAGAGCATGTGTTTCTATGCAACTGTCCCAGGGAGGAAAGCTGGTAGTTGAAGAACAGATTCTGCTTAATAGGCTCTCTTGGACTCTTTATTCCAATGCAGGTGAACTCCCTGCTATCTCTTCTCATGCTGCCTCTCTCAGTGGTGTGGAGACCTCTCTACATCACCTTCTATGTCTTCCCTCTGTTCCCAAGGATGAGGTGGGACACTTTTAGAGAATTTAGGTCACTGTAATGAGGGCTGCCAGAGTCCCAACTTATCATCTTGGCTGGCCCCATCTGAAGAGTACTCCTCAAGATAAGGCATAAAACATTACCCATTTTGATAGCTTCACAATTAGCAGCCTTTGATGCATTTTTTGAAAATTGAGAAGAGACCATGAAACCTAGAACACATTAAAGCCATTTTGTACATATTGTACTATTAGACTTTATAAGGGGAGGGAGAAGGTAAGCTGAGAAATTGATTGAAGCGTGGGGTAGAAATCCCAGATTTTCAGCAGGAGGGGCTGTCCTTGTACAT